TTTAGGACTCTCTTGTTGACTATGATGGCTACTCCATTTCTTCTAAGGAACTCCTGCCCACAGTAATAGATATAATGGTCATCTGAGTTGAATTCACCCATTCCAGTCCATCTTAGTTTGCTGATTCCTAAAATGTCAGTGTTCACTCTTGCCATCTCCTGTTTGAGCACTTCCAATTTGCCTTGATTCATGGACCTAACATCCCAGGTTCCTATGCAGTATTGCTCTTCACAGCATCGAATCTTGCTTCTATCACGAGTCACACCCACAGCTGGGTGTTGTTTTGCTTTGGCTCCCTCCCTTCACTCTTATTTGTCCACTGCTCTCCAGTAGCATACTGGGCACCTACTGACCTGGGGAGCTCCTCTTTCAGTGTCCTGTCTTTTTGCCTTTTCATGCTGTTCATGGGGTTCTCAAGGCAAGAATACTGAAGTGGTTTGCCATTCCCTTCTCCAGTGGACCACATTCTGTCAGACCTCTCCACCACGTCCCGTCCGTCTTGGGTGGCCCCACACGGCATGGCTTAGTTTCATTGAGTTAGACAAAGCTGTGTTCCATGTGATCAGGTTGGCTAGTTGTCTGTGGTTGTGGTTTCAGTCTGTCTGCCCTGTGACGCCCTCTCTCAGCACATGCCGTCTTACTTGGGTTTCTCTTAGCTTGGACGTGGGGTGTCTCTTCACAGCTGCTTCAGCAAAGCGCAGCCACTGCTCCTTACTTTGGACTTGGGGTAGCTCCTCTCAGCTACTGTCTCCTGCACTGTCGCACAGCTGCTGCTTCTAAAATGTGTTTAGGCTCGGGTTATTTTTGGGCTCCATGATCACCCCAGATGTTGACTGCAGCCATGAAATTAAAAAACGGTCCTTGGAAGAAAAGTTATGACCAACCTTGACAGCATATTCAAAAACAGAGACATTACTTTGTCAACAAAGGTCCGTTAGTCAAGGCTATGGTTTTTCCAGTAGTCATGTATGAATGTGAGAGTTGGACGATAAAGAAAGCTGAGCAGCAAAGAATTGATGCCTTTGAACTGTAGTGTTGGGGAAGACTCTTGAGGGTCCCCTGGACTTCAAGGAGATCCAACCAGTCCATCCTAAAGGAAATCAGTCCTGAGCATTCATTGGAAGGACTGATGCTGAAGCTGAAACTCCAAAAGTTTGCCCACCTGATGTAAAGAGCTGACTCATTGGAAAAGACCCTGATGCTGGGAAAGACTGAAGGCAGGAGAAGGGGATGACAGAGGATGAGATGGCTGGATGGCATCACCAACTCAATGGACATGAGTTTGAGTAAACTCCGGGAGTTGGTGATGGACAGGGAAGTCTGGCATGCTGCAGTCCGTGCGGTCGCAGGGTCAGGCACGGCTGAGTTGACTGAACTGAACTGACTAAATTTTAAATAGATTTTTCTTCTGCATGACTGTTCAGTATTACAGTCTACATTTGGATGGGATGTGAATCAGTTCTTTCTTAGAGGGACTAATTTTTCAGATGCAAGATATCCATTTCATGCTTCTGATCCATAAACAAGTAATTTTTTTAAATTATCAACATGAGCAGAAATTCCTCCACAAAATTGCCTGCTTTGTAGGATGTGATATTGACTGAGTAAGAATCATTGGCCAGAGAAACAGTCAAAGAATAGGGAATCCTTTCACCAGGCCCAAAGGTATGAAAGAACTTCAAAAACAAATAGGTTCAAGTTGAGTGAAACTTACTGGAGAAAGGTCTTTTTCAAGGAGCCAGCTAGATTTCATTCTGTAGCTGAGGAAAGCAAAATGTTAGTCAGCAGGAATTCAGAGGACACTAAGGAATGATTTAGAAGGGAGAGGTGGGACAAAGGATTGGGCCAGATTAAGGAATGTACCAGGCAGTATGGAAAGAAGAGTCTGTGCTAGTGTTGGATGAGACCTGGGGAAGTTTGGTCTGCTGTCAGTGACTGAAATAAACATGGAAATGAGACCTGATAGAATTCCTCAAAGTCCCTTTAAAATGGAAAAACAGAGGTAGAAATGTTAACATATGCAGAACTACAGAGTAGGTGAATATATTAACTGTTTTCCAGCTACAGCAATGGTTAGCTCTTAGCTGCTCCATTTGTCCTGTAACTTCCAGTAACTCTGTTCTGTAAATTGACCTAAGACCCTCACAAACAGTATGAAACCAAAGTTCCACTGAAAAGCGCTCACTGATATCTTCTGTTCTTTTTCTTCGTTTGAACTCTGGGTTATGGTGCACTAAATGGATTTCATGTCTGATAAATAGGTTATACATGGTAGTTGGAAAATTGAATTTGTGGTTTAAGCTGCTTGGGCTGGAGTTCTGACTGCACCCCTCAACAACTCTGTGTCCTTCAGCCTCTTACTTAATTCTAATCCTCACATTCTTCTTACATACAGTAGTACACACCTTCTGTGATTTTGGTGAAAATTACCTGTGTTTGAAATACTAGCTGTCAGTGTTAACAGTGGTCTACACACCTAGATGATACTCAGTTATTAGTAGATGCTATTACTATTTTAAGTGACCAACCTGGAATTTGAATCTTTATCTCTCAGATTCCAAAATCCAAATTCTTATCATTTTTAACTCTAACATAGAATGCATTTTAATACCTCCACTAACATTTCTTTCTTTGTGAAGTGAAAGTGTTAGTTGCTTAGTTGTGTCTGACTCTTTGTGACCCCATAAACTGTAACTTGCCAGACTCTTCTGTCCGTGAAATTTTCCAGACAAGAATACTGGAGTGGGTTGCCATTTCCTTCTCCAGGGATCTTCCTTACCCAGGGATTGAACCTGTGTCTCTTGCATCGCCTGCATTGGCAGGCGGGTTCTTTACCACTAGCGCCCCCTGGAAAGCCTCTGTTGACCCCTTGGTACTATTTATTGAGGAATTTCTGTACTCCTTTCTCTTTTCTAGCATCTTTATCATAAGTTTTCATACACTTGAAATGGTGAAAATTTGTTTCTAATGCTGAAATCTCTTATTCTTCTTCCCTAGTTTTATCAGATAGCACTTCCAGAGTGATGTTAACATCTGTGTTGATAGTGGACATCGGTGTCTTTTAAGTATGGCTTTGCTTTTAAATTTTGTTGTTATTTTGGCATAAAACATTTATCTGTTGGTTTGAAAAAGTCTTTTTAAAAGTCCTAAGAGATGTTTTTCTTCTTCTCATCAGTACTAATTTCTTAAACTTTGGTACCCTTTACTAGATTTCTTTTATTGAGTCTGTTTCCTACCTCAGATATATCTTTTTTTTTTTTTTTGCCCCTGCTGCACAGCTTGTGGGATCTTAGTTCCCCAACCAGGGATTGAATGTGGGCCCCAGAAGTGAAAGCGCTGTCTTAACCACTGGATCGACAGGGAATTCCCGAATATATCATTTTTCATAGGACCACATTGCCTGCTATGTTGTTTAACTAGTCTTTCCACTTTTGGTCCCTGTCCCTATTAGTCAGAACTCTGAACTGCTGGTACAAGTTCCTGCCCCAAGTCAGTCTTGACCATGTTTTATTTATATTCCAGGGAATTGTATCAGAACATCTTTCCATGTTATGTAATCAAAAGTGCAGACTTCTAAGGCTATTTATTATCTGTATTTCTTTGTGAACAGAGCATATGCCTTTCCATTACTCGCCTCTGTCAAGAACTTTAAAGGATCTGAGATCTTAGCCTCTCATAGGCTAATGAGTTAGTTATCCTCCTATGGGTTCATGGATCCTGGTAGAAGACAACTAGTCTCCTGGGTCAGAGTCAAGAGCAGTTTGTTACAGCAATAGCGGCAGCCACAATCTTACCACATTTCTTGTACTAGTTACCTAAGCCCTAGTTTCCCCAGGGTGAGGAGATGAGGGCCAGGCGACTCCTGTACACAGTTAGTTGCATTACAGGAGGAACCCTGAATGTTTTCTGGAGTCTCAGCCTACTTGTTTCTTTAATTCATCCCTTCCGTTCCGTCCCCCAGCTTTCTCTCCATTACGTCTTGATTTAAGACTTTGTCTCAGACAGATGCTTCTTCCACATCCCCCACGTGGCCCCTGTGTCTGAACGTGCTGCTGACTTTCCGTGTCCTCCTGTGCCGTAAGTGCCAGTGATCCTGGGTTTGCACATCGGCTTCAGTCTTTCTCTTCTCTGTGTACAATATATGAATCCTGTTGTCTTTCCTGCCGTCCTGCTGTAGGTGTATCTCAGAGTGCCTGCAGAGATATTATTTATTTTTTGTCTCTTACAGAACACACAAAGGCACTGTATTGGTTAAGAATGTGTTCAGTTACAAGGATTAGATGACCACCGTTTCACATTAGGTGTAATGGATAGGGTTTTGTTTTTTGTTTGTGGGTCCCCCCCCCAATGGACAAAGCCTGGAGGTAGATAATGCAGGTGTTGATTCAATTTTTTAAACAGTGCTTTTTCATGCAAGTTTTTCCATATGCGCTTCCCATCATCTGAAATTCTTTTTCCTGTATTTGCAGTTCCAAATTAAACTCATTTTTTAAGTTACAAGATCTACAGAGTCTTTTGTTGAAGACTTACTCTTGAAGTGAAAATACTCATAGGTACTACTAAGGTAGAAAAAGGGCTACTATCATTGAGTTATCTGTGCACATACACACACATGTGTACACATCTTCCATTAGATTCTGCATTCTGTGTCTGTGTGGTATATCTTTTATTACCCTCCAAGAAGTGCTTTAAGGTACACAGTCCATTTACTTGAAGATAGAATGAGAGAGAAAAAATGAACCCTAGCTTTAAGCAAACCCTGTCAGTAGTCAGAGCCTCGAGAAAAGATGTTGACAGGGGTGTGAATGTGGAGATTTGGGTTTTAAGCAGATAATTTAGTTTATAGGAATTAAATGTACCTGTTATTGAAAGGAACACTTTTATTGTGTAGTTTCTGAATGCTCCATATTTCTACTCGCTATCAAATTTATCTCCACGTACTATTAAAACATTTTATTAATATTATATAGAAATAAAATGAAAGCTATTCTTTCTTTCAGTGCTTAGATGAGTATGAAGATGACGAAGCTGGGCAGAAAGAGCGGAAACGAGAAGATGCGATCACACAGCAGAACACAGTACAGAACGAGGCTGTGAGCTTGTTAGATCCAGGAAGTGCTTACCTGCTACAAGTGAGTATTTAGAAATTCTAGAATGTCACTAGCTACTTTAACAATAGTTTTTTTAAGTTACTGTCAGTAATTTTTCCAATTTTATTTTAATTGCATCAGCTCCACTGAAGTACTTTAAATGAATTTAACTATGTATTTTCTTATGTGTAAATATCTTTTGATGTAAGCAGTATTTGGTCCTTAAATCCTGATCAATGAATATTTACTGATTAACCAAGCAGGTTTAAACAGTATCCATTGTGAAAATAACCAGGAAAAGTAATTAGCTTTTTTGCTCTTAAAGAAGTAAGGTTTAGCAGACAGTTCTGTTCTCGGCTGATATTTACTTTAGAATTACATACCAAGTAGAGTTGAATAACAAGTTTCTACTAAGTGAAATGTTTAAACATAATAAAACACAATATGTAGTATTGTGAATTGCCAGATACATCAGTGTTTCTGTGTAATTATAAAATACTTTTCAAAAGAAAATTTAGGTCAGTTTCAAATTAGCGGTTATCTTGGCTTCTTGTGGCACAGAGAATTGGAAGATATTGGCATTGGAGTGCCTCAGTTTAAAGCAGATTGCTCTGCAGAATCATTCCATATAAACTGTCATTTGGGGGAATGATCTGTATATATTTAATCTTAAATTAATTTGATGATATTTTGATATGTTAAACTACCGTGTTGTCTTTTCAGCATTTGATATTTTTAATCCATTTTATTATGATACCACTTTAAAAGGGGTTTCCAAGCAATACATACATCTCCCTGTTTTACTGATGATAAAAGATGAAATATAAGCTTGTCTATTAACTTGCAGGGTTATAATAGAAGGCACTTAGCTGAAAGAGGCAAAATATTTTGAAGTGGTCTGGATATGAATGCAAAATTTCTCTTTCCTCTTCTCTTTGAGGCAGATATTGAGGTGGTGAATCGTAGAGTAACACAGGCTTGTCTGCTCCCCCGTATCACAGTTTCTACTACTAGGAGAAGTAGTACCCTATTGCATTAAACTACTTTATATCCTTTGTGTATCACAACAAAGTTGAAATGAAACCTGTACATATTCCAGGTGAAGAAATAGGCTTAATTTGTTAGGATAGAGACAATATAGCATTTTGATTAAGAATCTAGACCTGGTTCAGTTCTTGGTCATGTCACTTAACATTAGGCAGCAACTTTTGGAAAGAGTGCTGATTTATTTGTGTTGAATGAAGTCCTTACCCTTTTGGAGCTGGGGAGCTTAGTGTTTAGCTTATTCCCAGGTTTAAACCCAGATATGGAGAAGTGTCAACTGATCTGGTCTCTTGCAGTTTAACTTCTTTCCTGTAGCTTTACTAGTCTCTTCCTAGATCTCCCCTTCATTTCTCTCATTTTTATTTATTTCATTAGCAGTTGGGATGTGACTCACTGGTGATCTTGGTTTTAAGTATCTGTTTTTCAGGCTGTGTGCTTAGGATGAAAGAGAAGCAGAGTCTCCCATGGATTGCAGATTGCCACATTGAAGTTGGAATGGGAACAAGAACTCTTCTGTCTACATGTTGGCCTCTCTCTGAGTTACTACCTAAACTCATATATTTTGTTACTCTTAAGATAGGATAGATTTTATTTATAATTCCAACTTCAAAAACAATAAACAGAAAGAAAATGTTGGCATTCCAAAAAAATGTGTTATGTATTTATGGCTGCTCTGGGTCTCCATTGCTGCCTGAGGGCTTCTGTCGTGGGGGCAGGTGGAGGCTCCTCTCTGGCTGCGGTGCTCGGGCTTCTCGCTGTGGAGGCTTCTCTTGATGTAGAGCACTGGCCCAGGGCGCTCAGGTCAGTAGTTGTGGTGAATGGACTTGGTTGTCCTGCAGCATGTGGAATCTTCCTGGACCAGGGATTGAACCCATGTCCCCTGTATTGGCAGGCAGATTCTTAACCACTGGACCACCAAGGAAGTCTTCATTGGTTGTTCTAAGGCTTTCTTTTTTTGAACAGATCAGAGAGAAAGACTTTGTCTCTTAGCCTTATCTATGTGGTAGCACAGTGGTAAAGAATCCACCTACAGTGCAGGGGACACGAGAGACACAGGTTCCATCCCTGGGTCGGGAAGATCCCCTGGAGGAGGAAATGGCAACCCGTTCTAGTGTTCTTACCTGGGTAACCCCATGGGCAGAAGAGCCTAGCGGGCTGCAGTCCGTGGGGTCGCCAGGAGTCCGGCAGGACTGGGCACACAGGGCACGTGAGTCTTAGCCATTCAGTGAAACAAGTTGTTTGAAATGAAGAATGAAGTGGGAACATGGATTTGCGGTAACAGTATGCTTTATGAAAGGTTAGAGTATTTTAAGTTTCTGTTTGGCTTTTTTCAAATAATATGGAGTAGTAGTAATAAAATATGAGCCTTTAAAATTTTTTCTTTCATTTTTACGTTTGATGTTACACATTTTAACCACGTTTTTCCCTAGGTAGTCATGCCTAATCCTGTCACTTTTTAAAGTAATATATTAAATCTCTGACTAAATAATACAGGATCAATGGAAAACATGAAAAAAAGAAAATGTGAAAGACAGGAAAGTGCCTTTCTTTATGTATTTTTGTAAACTCTTTATTAAATTTTCAGCATTAGGCTTAATTAATTTAGAAGGAAACATAATGTCACATGCTAAAAAATGCAAAAAGCATAGAAAGGAATAAAATAGTAAAAAGTCCCTCTCAGCTACCTGGTTACCTTCTTTGGAGGCAACTAGTGCTTTCTTTTTCTTGTACATTCTTCTCGAGGTAGTCCAGAAATAAGTTTATGTTTCTCTCTGTGTGTATAATATATATATTCCTAATTTTAGGCACACTCTTGCAGCTTGTTCTTTTCATTTAATATTGTAGAGAGGCTTCTGCGATAGTAGATAAAGAACTTCCTTGTTTTCTTTTTTGAAACCACAGAATATTGTTTTATAGATGTAATTTTTCTGACTTGATGGACATTTAGTTGAAACATGTAAGTTTTTGATGCTACAAACAATGTAGTGGTAAAAAACCTTTCAATATATAAGAAACTTACAGTCTTTTTATATGTGTGTATAAATCAGTAGGATAAAACCCTCTAGCACTGGAATTTCTGAGTGAAAAGGAATACATGTTTGTAATTTTGATGACATTGCCAAAATTCTCTTTGTAAGTATTAGAGCATGAACATTTTTTTCATGTTGTTCAAATCTCTTTATATATTATTTTCACTGGCATAGAATTTTCTTTTTTAATGTGAGTAGTAGTTGACACAAATTTCCCATTAATAGGATTCCTCAGTGGTTAAACATTTTTACTATTATAAGTACTACTGAAATTAACATCTATATAAATTAAACTTTTTGAATTATTTTCTTGGCCAGATTACCAGAGATAAACTTACTGGGTCAAAGGTCGTAATATTTAAAAATTATTTATTAGCTATCCCTCATGACTTGCAGGATCTTAGTTCCCCACCAGGGATCGAACCAGTTCTTCCTGCAGTGGAAGCACAAAATCCTAATTGCTGGACCACCAGTGAAAATGGAAGTTGCTCAGTCGTGTCTGACTCTGCAACACCATGGACTGTAGTCCGTGGAATTCTCCAGGCCAGAACACTGGAGTGGGTAGCCTTTCCCTTCTCCAGGGGATCTTCCCAACCCAGGGATCAAACCCAGGTCTCTTGCTTTGCAGGTGGATTCTTTACCAGCTGAGCCACAAGGGACCACCAGGGAATTCCCCATAAAATGCATGTTTAAGGCTAAAAATTTCTCAACATATTGCCTAAATTACTTATGAAGAAAAGTTTATCAGTATATAATCAAGAGCATTTTGTGAGAGGGCATTTATGAATTTTATTTTACTTCTTTCTTTGATTCATTTATTGATTTTCCTTTTAAAACATTCTCAGCCTAACTGAAAAGTTACAAGTACTGTGTAGAGAATTTTTTTTTACCCTTAAAATGTTTGAGAGTAAGTTGCTAACTTGATGCCTTATTACCCCCAGTACCTCCCTGTGTGTTTTCTACAAAGAAGATCTCCTGCGTAACTGCAACATAGCTCTTCAAAATAGAAAATTAAAATTGACATTGACACATTTTTTTACCATCTAGTTTATTCAGATACCATCAAATTTCACCAGTTGTCCTTAATATGCTATCTAGGTTGGTCATAACTTTCCTTCCAAGGAGTAAGCGTCTTTTAATTTCATGGCTGCAATCACCAACTGCAGTGATTTTGGAGCCCCCCCAAAATAAAGTCTGACACTGTTTCCACCTCTATTTCCCATGAAGTGATGTGACCAGATGCCATGATCTTAGCTTTCTGAATGTTGAGCTTTAAGCCAACTTTAGTTCCTCTTCACTTTCTGCCATAAGGGTGGTGTCATCTGCATATCTGAGGTTATTGATATTTCTCCAAGCAATCTTGATTCCATCTTGTGCTTCTTCCAGCCCAGCGTTTCTCATGATGTTTTTAAGGTTATGGGTCATTTATTTTTGTCATATGACCTTCAGTTTGGGTTATCTAATATTTACTTCTGATTAGATTCATGCCGTGTGTCTTCAGGAATAGCACAGAATTGACAGTGTTCTTCTCAATGTGTAGCCTGTCAGGTGACACATGATTTTAATTTGTTCCAGTGCTGCTGCTGATCACTTTGGTCATGTGATTAAGGTAGTGTTTGCCAGGCTTCCCTGCTGCTGCTTAATAAGTGTTTTGTGGATAAGTTCTCTGAACCACTGAACCATGTAGATATCTTTGTCTCCATCAAGCTCTCTATTGTCTCTACCCATTTGTCTGTCATCTGTATATCTGTATCAACTCACTACTACCCATTTTATCTGATGGATTTTACCTTGTTATACTCTGTATTGGTTTGATTGCCACAAATTTGGAATCTTAAAACAACACAAATTTATCAATTTACAGTGTTTTTAAGTTGGCAGTCTCATTGGACCAGTAAAATTGTGGACCGATATCAAAGGGTAAAATCAGGACTGCATTCCTTTTTGGATGCTATAGGTGAGAATCCA